ATGATGATGATGATGATGATGATGATGATGATGATGATGATGATGATGATGATGATGATGACTGGGCTTGAATCTAGCTGTCGTTTTGGGAGAAAACTAGGCCGCTGCCTCAGTTGGGGAGGGGGAGGTGACGTCTTCGGGGGCAACTGTCTACTTGACCGGAGCCCCAGTGGGTGGCGCCGACCCACACTCCCATTCTGACACCCGTGTTTCGTCCCGCTCAGCCGTTCTCCCTTGTCTGTCCGTCCCTCTCTCTCAGGAGGCATGAGGCCCAACACCATCGCTCTGGGTTTCTATGACGACACACCCTCCCAGGACTTCCTGTCCCAGCACCCCGCCTTCAGCGGCAGCAAGGATCCCGCGTGGCTCAACTTCCCTCCCCTGCGGGACTCCACCGGCCGCAAGCCCCTGTCCCCCCGCGAGTACGTGGCGATCGTCGCGGACGCCGTGAAGATGCAGCGCAACGTGCTGCTGGCGCGGGCCTTCGACGACCTGAAGCTGCCGCAGGAGCTGGGGTGGAAGGCGCAACCCCTCATCGACGTCTGGCCCATCAACCTGCTGCGCCCGGACAGTGCCCGCTACGTGGACACCTGCAGCCTCTTCCTGCTGCAGATGGCCTGCGTCCTGGCCATGACGCGGGCCTGGCGCCGGGCCCGCCTGCGCCTCTTCCTCTGCGTGGAGCGCGGCGCCCGCCCCCGTGGCCAGGAGGACAAGCTGCGGCAGCTCCTGAAGGACCTGCGCATCTTGGCGGACATCCACACTGTGCCGTGGGACAACGTGGTGGCCCTCCATTGGCACAGCCAAAAGGAGGCGGCGAGCGACGACGCCCTCAACTTCCCCGGCAACGTCGCCTGCGTCTCCGACGACTACCTGAGCGCGGTCAATCTGCTCATCCTCCAGGAGAGCTCCGCCCCCACCGTCCGCTTCCTCTACCTGCCGCGCCCCCCTGCAGACACCAGCTTGTACCCGCGGTACTTAGAACAGTTGGAGGTCCTCACCCGTGGGCTGGGCCCTACCCTCTTGGTGCACGGGGTGAGCGCCGTCACCAGCACGGAGCTGTAGGTGTGACCTCAGCGTGAGCGAGGGGACTGGTGACTGACTCGTTCACCCGTTCTGACGTAAAGTTGGTAAGTAGCCGCTGGACGAGAATGGTACGTCAAGGAGCAAAGCCAAGGTGAGCTGGAAACGGCCAGGCCAGGCTCCCTTCTTGGTTTTACTCAAGTTCGGTCTTTTCCCCATGGACTGAGGCACTGGTGAGGCCTCGCGCACGGCAGCAAGTGTGACCGTCAAGGGTGTTCCTCACAAAGCGTCCTCACCTCGCTCTCTCCCTCGGAACCGGAATTCTCTGCACGCTCCAGCAGAGTCGGGTTACGGAATGGTTGGAGGGTCTCCAACCCAGCGCTGGGACTCTAAATTCCTACCTGTCGACGAGGAGACTCCCGGGAGGGGACAGTGGCACCGGAAACGCCGCCGTGACCACCCTTTCTTTTTATACTTCGAAACGGGAGTAAAGTCCGAGAGGGCACATGTAGAAGTGGCAATAAAATTAAAGTTGGAATAAAATTAAAGATGGATCCGTGCGTTCTCTTGTGGTGGTGTTGGGGTGTCCTGAAGTGGCCGCAATGGGGGGGGGTCTTGCCCTCAGTTCCAGCTGCTGCTTAGGTCCACCAGAGGACTTGTTCACCACACCCGTGGTGTCGTGGTTGGGAGCGTGGGCTCTAACGTGGGAGAACCGGGTTTGATTCCCCACTCCTCCACATGCAGCCGCTGGAGTGACTTAGGGTCCGTCACAAGTTCTCTCGGAGCTGTTCCCTCAAAGGCAGTCCTCGAAAGAGCTCTCTCAGCCCCGCCCACCTCACAGGGTGTCTGTTGAGGGGAGGGGAAGGGAAAGGAGATTGTCAGCCGCTCTGAGATTCCTTCGGGTAGTGAAGGGCGGGGTATAAATCCAATCTCTTCTTCTTAGTGTTTTTATTATTATGCACTGTTTGCTGTTTTCATGCTTGTGCAAATGGGTTGCTGGCCAGTTGCCATTCACTTCCACAAATGACAGCAAACAAGATGAACAACAAGAGCCAGTTTGGTGTAGTGGTTAAGTGCGCGGACTCTAATCTGTGAGAACCGGGTTTGATTCCCCACTCCTCCACTTGCAGCTGCTGGGGTGACCTTGGGTCAGTCACAAGTTCATTCAGAGCTGTTCTCTCAAGGACAGTTCTGGAAAGAGCTCTCTCAGCCCCACCTACCTCACAGGGTGTCTGTCGTGGGGAGGGGAAGGGAAAGGAGTTTGTAAGCCGCTCTGAGACACCTTTGGGTAGTGAAGGGCGGGGTATCAATCCAATCTCCTCCTCTTTTTCTTCTTCTGCTCCTCCTTCTCCTATCCCAGAGCCCAGAGAGATCCTGGGCGAGGGGTGCTGGTCTTAAAACGGCACCTGATCATCCACTCCTTGGCATGAAGGCTGAGGTATCATTCCTAATGACAGACACACCAATTTCTTTTTCCTGCTGTATGTGAATTCGATGTTGCCGCTTGCCTCCCACCCCCTGCCCCTACACCAGACCCCAGAGGGATCGGGGGGGGGGGGTGTCTTAAAATATTACCTGATCATCCACTTCTTGGCATGAAGGCTGAAGTATCATTCCTAATGACAGACACACCAATTTCTTTTTCCTGCTGTATGTGAATTCGATGTTGCCGCTTGCCTCCCCTGCCTGTACACCTTGCAAGTCAACCGGGTGGGTGGGGGAGGGGTCATTGGTGGGCTTCCCCCCCCCCCACATTGTTCCTTCAATTTGTTTGGCCAACTTGTGGTTTTTTTCCAGTTACGCATCAGTCCACTTGTTTATATGTCCGTCAATCCCCTTTTAAAAGATCCTCATAAGCGCTCTATAAGCCCATTGCAACATAAGAACACAAGAGAAGCCAATGCTGGATCAGTGGCCAGAAATACCAGGTGCCATCAGGAGGTCCAGCAGTGGGGCCAAAACACCAGAAGCCCCTCCCACTGTTGTACTACCCCCCCCCCAAGCACCAAGAATACAGAGCATCACTTGCCCCAGCCTGAGATTTCCTATCTATACCTTGTGGCTAATAGCCACGGATGGACCTCTGCTCCAGCCAGTTTGGTGTAGTGGTTAAGTGTGCAGACTCTAATCTGGGAGAACCGGGTTTGATGCCCCACTCCTCCACTTGCACCTGCTGATGTGACCTTGGGTCAGTCACAAGCTCTGGCACAGCTGTTCCTGAACGAGCAGTTTCTGTCAGAGCTCTCTCAGCCCCACCCACCTCACAGGGTGTCTGTTGTGGGGAGGGGGAGAGGAGTTTGTAAGCCGCTCTGAGACTCCAAGTGAAGGGCAGGGTATAAATCCAATCTCTTCTTCTTCATATGCGTCTCCAATTCCCTTTTGCAGCCGTCCATGCTTGTAGCCGCCACCCCCTCCTGTGGCAGTGAGTTCCATGTGTCAATCACTCTTTGGGTGAAGAAGTACTTCCTCTTATCCGTTCTAACACGACCTCTCAGCAATTTCATGGAGTGCCCACGAGTTCTTGTCTTGTGAGAAAGGGAGAAAAGGACTTCTTTCTCGACCTGCTCCATCCCATGCAGAATCTTGTAAACCTCGATCATGTCACCCCTCAGCCGTTGTTTCTCCAATCGCTCTGGGGCCCTGACCTGGATACCCCAGGCAACCCCGATCTCATCAGATCTCAGAAGCTAAACAGGGTCAACTCTGGCAAGTTCTTGGATGGGAGACATTCAAAGAATATCAGGGTCGGGAGGCAGAGGCAGGAGCCTGTTCTCTGAACGTCCTCTATGCCCCAGTAGGAGTCAGCAGAGGTCACCATCAATGCTCCCTCTAAGCTGTGGAGTCTTGTGAGCAAAAATTCTACTTTGTGAGCTCCTGGCATTACAGCTGTGAGCGAGCAATTGGGTTATTGCATAAATTGGTTTGCTCTGCAGCCATCCTTCCCGAGCAAAGACAAAAATGTGTGAGCCGGAGGCTAAAAAAAACTGTGAGCCAGCTCACACTAACTCAGCTTAGAGGGAACACTGGTCATCAATGTTCCCTCTAATCTGTGGAGTTTTGTGAGCAAAAATTCTACTTTGTGAGCTACTGGCATT